ATATAAAACCATGATAAAAATGCACTTTTAAGTACTAATCAGGACCATAGGGTGGCGGCTGAGTAATGGTGTCGATGCAGAAGAGGTAGGTGTCCTAGAGGTGTCATGCTGTAGTGGATAAGTGGAGAGATCAACCACTGGATTGAGACCAGAGAAAGAAGCTGGGGAAGAAGCTACTATAAGGGATTGTTGTAACAATAGGACTAGTAGCAGAGACAGAGTCTTCAGAAATCGGGTGACTAGTAGAATAAGGGGAAGTAGAGGAGGAACCAGAAGGCATCCCAATACTAGTAGAGACATGATGCTAGAGTGTAGGGAAAATTGATCCTCAACTTGTACTTACAACAAAATGGTGAGAGAAAGATGCATGTGGTGATCGGCAAGGGAAATGAAGTTATTGTGTTTGGGTAAGATGTGAAGGTTATGGTGTTTGGGCAGAGGTGGTATGAGGTGTGGTATAATCAGTGAATAATAAGGAGGTGGTCAGATTTGAGAGGATGACAATAAGGGAGGATGTGTGGTTTTGAGCTAAAACCTATGTAATTTGATTAGATTTATCAAACAAAAAAACATGTTGATAAAAACAGACATGACGGGAGATATACATGCGATGAGATGCAATGTCAAAACATTAGTAACCAAGGTGAGAGGAATTGTAGCCAAAAAAACACACACGAAGAAGACAAAAAATCCAATTTATGATTATCATAGGGACGCAAAAAAGGAAAACAGTGACATCCAAAAGTATGCAGAAACTGATAATTAGAAGACCGTTGAAACAAACAATCAAATAGAGATCAATTTGTAAGGATAAGAGTAAGCATGTGATTGATGAGATAAACCGAAGTGTCAAAAGCATAATTCCAAAAATAGAAAGGAGCTTTACATTGGCTTAGAAGAGTAATGATGTATTTTTACTGTTCCATTTTGTTCATGAGTGTGAGGACATATCAGATGGTGATGAATACCAATGGTTTGAAAGAAAGTGGATAGTTTATGATATTCACCACCTAATTAATTTGAACATATTTTATTTTTAAAAAAAACTAACATTTGACAAGAGTTTGAAATTGATGAAAAATAGAATAAATATCAAATTTTGCAATAAGTGGATAATACCATATATATTTTATGTGTGTATCAACAAATATAACAAAATAATGATAACCATCTATAGAAAAATAGGGGTAGGGCTTCATATATCACTAAACATTAATTGAAGTGGAGTAGAAGTTTTGTGACTAATAGGTCTTAAAGATAAACACAATGATTTTCCTTAGGGATAGCTTTGACATTGAAAATTAAGATGTTTGGTATTTGACACGATGAAAAGATTGATGTCTTCTCCCAAGTGCAGGAGTGTCGAAGTAATAAATAACCCGGCAAGACCGGGGTCGAACCACAAGGAGGTTAAGTGTATAAATTATAGATGACAACAACAACAACAACAACAACAACAACAACAACAACAACAACAACAACAACAACAACAACAACAACAACAACAACAACAACAACAACAACAACAACAACAACAACAACAACAACAACAACAACAACAACAACAACAACAACAACAACAACAACAACAACAACAACAACAACAACAACAACAACAACAACAACAACAACAACAACAACAACAACAACAACAACAACAACAACAACAACAACAACAATAATATAATACTTGTAAATCTCGTCAAGCATTCATGATTATAACTTATGTTAACAACAAATCAAGTTCCTTTCATAGCTCAGGTGTCGGTTATACCATACATTATGGGCTATGAAAGTGCCAAGCATTTGTTGTACCAAGTGTTATACAACATAAATCAAGATTAGTCATTTAACAAGCAAAGTATTAAAGAGTGAACAAGATAGCAAATATAAAACATGTTAGTATCAAACATTAAAGTCCATATTAAGTTTACATTATACTTATTCTTACACCATTAGTGTAACCTTTTCACCTTGACATAATTAACTTAGCTAGACATAATGAAAGAAAGCAAAATAGATAAACAAAATAAGAACATAAAAGTTAACTAAGTAAAGGAAAGGAAATGAAAGGCATAAACTTAATATTAATGAAAACAAAGCATAAAAAATACAAAGAGAGAAAGGAAGAGCATGATCTTGATCTGGAAATCAAGATGCCTAAATGCATGGCAAATGCCTCCTTTTATAGGCCAAAAATGGGAACTATTGATTTGATGACTAATTGATAAGTGGGTGACCAACTTTTGACTTGGTGACAATCCTTATCTTCTCTTGTCTGCCCAAAACGTCATTGATAACGTCAAAATTGGAGCCAGTTGTAAACATGAAAGTTGTAGGCAATTGTCTCAGCTTTCTTGTGTAAAAATTTCAGCTCATTTGGACTTCTAGAACTCCAGATATGGCCAAAATACCGAATAGTGCTCGGGCTGGAAGACAGATTCGGGCTTCTTTGTTGTTGCTACAATTTGGACTTGATAATGGCCTTTTTAGATCTTGGGCTCCATATGAAAGTTGTAGGCCTATGTCTTACCTTTCCATCCATATAAATTGGACCTAAATCTGAGATCTGTAGCTCCAGATATGACCCAATTACCGAACAGTGTTCCGGTTTGGATTGCACCGACATCTCTTTTCTAAGTTTGGCCATCTCTTTATCCTTGCAATTTAAGTTCTTCAAGTCATCAATCAATCCTTTCATTTATGTGATAGGCCTGCATTAAAAATAGACATTTACCATAAATTATAGGTATCTTATATTATTAGATACATTATTATAAAACATATTTTAGTTAAGGAGTTATTGATACTTCAAGTGCAAAATGATGATATAAAACCATGATAAAAATGCACTTTTAAGTACTAATCACACCCCCCAACCAGCTTATTACTAGTCCCTAGTAATCAAAGCGTTAAAATAGAAAACAAATTTGCAAATTTCACAAAGCAAGGTATTCATCATTTAACTTCCATTAGTCTATCCAGATAAACAAACTCTCATTAAATTTATATATCTGCTCAATACCTCTTAACAAGATATTAATAAACCTTTCTTTTGTGCTCAATGTATCAACACATAATTATGGGGCTTTTCTTGGAAGAAAACAAAATTTTTGTTCTAATGTTTAAGGTTAACTTCCTTGGGTTGGGATTACTATTTTTGTCTTTTTTTTTTTTTTTAACTCTATATACATATACTTTAAAAACATCATGCATCTTTAACCCATGTAATGAGCTTTCAGCTAATGACTCCCAGACCAGTTGGTATTAGGGCATTAGGTGTTAAGACACCCCTACGAGCTTAGTAACTCGGGTCGCAGATACTGATATGTAGATAGTGCAATGTTTGATTCCCTTAAGCTTTTCTCCTCAACCCATGTAACAAGCGTTGGGCCAATAGCTCCCAAGTCAGTTGACTTTAGGGTATTAGGTGTTAAAACACCCCTTCGGGCTTAATTGCTTAGGTTAGGGAGGCTACGAAACCAAACTTATCTACATTTTTATTATCATCATTTTTTTTTTCTTTTTTTTTTTTTTTTTTTTTTTTTTTTTTTTTTTTTTTTTTTTTTTTTTTTTTTTTTTCTTTTTAATTATATACAATCCCTTTCCCTTAGTTGTTACCTTTAACAAAAGAACATAAATAATGTAATAATCCAATATGCAACCCACAATCATATGTTAAAGTGTGTGTGTGTAAATTAAGGTTTAAGAATACATGTTAAATAAGTATATGAGCAGAATTAAGTGGTAACAATACGAGAGTTTGTAAACCTGAATATTTCAGGAAGTATTATAATAGACCTTGTTAAGAATGGTTACTAAGATGCGTCTCAAGAGTCACTTTAACAAAAGAACTCCTTTACTCTGCCATCCTAGTAACAACAATTATGCACATGCTTTATGAAATGAAAAACAATTTTTTTTTATCAACTACTACCCTCTCCCCCCAACCAAAACGAGACATTGTCCTCAATGTTCTAAGGTAGAAAGATAGAGTATAGAAGATATCACCTGAAATAATGAACATTAACAAACCTGAAACACACTGAAACAAAAATAAGAAATGACAAAACACAAATATTATGTTATTAATAAAAAGAAAAGACACAAATTTTTACAAGCTAAGACTCAAATCGCAGTTGTGATTGTGGCTCACATCTTCCCTTGGTTTTACGTCCAAGAACGGCTTAAACGCCCTCTATGGGTCGGGGATAGGCTTCCCATCCAGTTTTCTTAAAAACTGGCAAACAGGGTCTTTTTTTAGTCAGATTCCCAAGACTATGCCAAGCATGTTCTTTATGAAAATGGGTTCCTAAGTTATGAATTGCACGATGCTTATCTTGACTATGATGAGACTTAAGAGTCAATAGAAGATTATCTAAAGACTCTCTGTGTTTTGAAATAAATCCCACCTTCTGACAATTTTCACAGTTTTTGCGGAATGCATCTGACTCCTTGAATATGATGGGCCAGTAAAATTCACTTTGTAAGATTTCTACAATCCTCTTTTTTGATGAGAAATGATCCCCACATGCCTTAGAGTAACAAAATTTAATGAAATTACTTACCTCATTGTCGAGAATGCATTTTTGAAATATTTGATCAGGACAATAATTGAATAAGTAAGGGTCATCCCAATAAAAATTTTGCTCGTTGCTCAAAAATTTTCTTTTGTCTTCAATACTCCAATGAGTTGGCAAAAATCCTGAAGCAAGAAAATTGATATTTTTAGCAAACCAAGGCATTGAATTAAGAGAAAGTAGAGATTCATCAGGAAAGTAATCATCGATTGGTGTGATGTCGGGTGTCGAATCTGTTGTCACTTTTGATAAAAGATTCGCATCAACCTTTTCGATGCCTTTTTCATCCTCGATTTCTTCCTGATTGGTCATGGCATGAGAAAATGGAAGTGCTGGCGGAGAATCAGTCGTTTCTTTGCAATTTTCAGATTCAACCCCTTCCTTTCCCTTAGAAATTGACTCATCATCTTTCTCATAAGGTTCAAGAGAGGGTTTTTCAATAACCTTACCACTGCGTAGAGTAGTGACTGATTTGACTTGATCCATGTGTTGGCTTCTGGAACTACTTGCATTTGCATTGTATTGCTCCTTGAGATTTTGCTGTGGTTTAGATGGAAACTTACCTTGCTCTTGAAAATTGAGAGCAGATGTGAATTTTGCAAGAGTATCTTTAAAATCTGTTATGCTTTGAGCAAGTTGAGTGTTGATTGTCTCTTGCTTTTCAATGAATGCATACAAAGTTTCCTCAAAATTTCTTGTAGGAGGTGGAGCATAAGGAGGTGCATATCCATGAGAATTTTGGAAATTATGGTGTGCTTGAAACTGTGGTTGTGAAGTTTGTGCATTGTTGTTCTCACTCTTCCAACTAAAATTTGGGTGATTTCTCCAACCAGGGTTGTATGTTTGGGAGTATGGGTTGTGGTTGGGCCTTTGGAAACTGTTTAAAGCATGGGCTTGTTCATGGAGACATTCTTTAAAAGAAGGCAAGGTTGGACAATCGTTGGTTGAGTGTTCATTTGTTTCACAGATTTGACACACAATGTTTTCAACGGATTTTAATTGACCACTCTTTTTCAATTCTAGTGCCTCGACTTTTCTAGCTAAAGATGCAAACTTGGCTTGAAGGTCATGATCTTCCCTAAGGTTGTACATGCCTCCACTAGATGTGTGAGGTTGAGTTTTACTCGGTGCCTCATAAGTACCCGTGGTGTCCCAATTTTGAGCATTTTCAGCTAACAAGTCTAAGTACTCCATTGCTTCATCAGGGTCTTTATCTTCAAAAGTTCCATTGCACATCAATTCAACCATTTGCCTATCTTTAGGTGTTAACCCTTCATAGAAATGTGAAACCAATCTCCATGTTTCAAAACCATGATGAGGGCAAGTACTAAGCAAGTCTCGATACCTATCCCAACATTTGTAAAATGTTTCTCCTGGTTTTTGAGTGAAAGTGGTGATTTGTCTCTTGAAAGAGTTTGTTCTATGAGATGGGAAAAACTTCTTTAAAAATTGTTGTTGCATTTCATCCCAAGCACGAATGGATCCTGGTCTTAAATTTTGTAGCCATGTTTTAGCTTTATCTTTTAATGAAAAAGGAAAAAGCTTTAATCTGATGGTGTTCATGCTACAATTTAAATTATTATATGTGTTGCAGACCTCTTCAAATTCCCTTAAATGCAAGTATGGATTTTCCAATTCTAAGCCATGAAAAGAAGGTAAAAGTTGAATAATACCTGGTTTAAAATTAAAATGAGATGCATCGGGAGGAAAAACTATGCATGATGGTGCACTTGTTCTTGTGGGATTCATGTGGTCTCTAAGTGTTCTAGCACGGTTATTCTCATTATTTTCATTATGAAGTGATTGATTATCTTCTTCAGCCATATTTTCTGAAAATGATGAGGATACCCTACAAAGTCTACCACTTGATGTACGTGACCACACTCTCATGCACGTGTAGGAATAAAATAAAAAGAAGAAGAAAGCAAAAGAAGGAGGAAGACAACAAAATAAAAAGAAACAAAAGAAAAGAAATAAAGTTATATACAAGAAAAGTGAAAAGAGAAAATAAAATAAATACTATAATTTATACAAGAACTTACCTCCCCGGCAACGGCGCCAAAAACTTGACACGACTCAAACCATTTTAGACCTCAACCCTACAATAACTATATAAAGAGGATGAGTCTTTTTTCAAGTAGTGATCTAAAATCCAATGGCTTCAACTAGAGGATAGGAATACAAAATTTTTCCATAATTCGTTAATGCATAAGCAGGTTCGAAATAGAATCCATACCCTGATGGATGAAGATGACAATTTTATTCATGATCAGTAGGAGTTAAGGAACATAGCAACAAAGTATTATGAGCAAATCCTATCTCCTCCTCACTCTCTTTTCGATGTAGATGTTGCCAACATTTGCCCAAAATCCATCACAAATACAGTAAGATCAGCATAAGGCCACCCTATCTCTAATTAGGAAATCAAGGTTGTCTTTTTCTTCATTCCTCATACCAAAACCCTCAACACTGATGGTTTTAATTATCCCTTCTTCAAGAAAAGCTGGAACATAATTGGGGTAGATTTTATTACAGCTATCAAGTTTTTCTTCTCTCACAACCATTTGCCACGATGTGTTAATGCAACCAATGTAACTCTAGTACCTAAAATTGAAAACCCTACATGCATGAATGACTTTAGACCAACTTGTTGCAATGTTATATATATAACTGCATTTCCAAGCTCCTTGTGACTAGATTAAAGGCTATCTTAACTAATGTTATTGGCCCATCTCAGTCTGCATTCCTTTCAGGTAAGCAAATCTCAGACAAGGGCCTTGCAAGGTGTGCTATTTATTGAAAGCTAAGCTGATTACTTGTGGTTGAAGTTGTAGAAGAAGACTACGTAGTCTGTAGCAATAAGAGTGAAGAAATAAAAGGAATTCTTTTAAATCAGTTAAAGAGGCAATTAAAATAGTTATGGCATTTATAGTCAATTTTTACTATTACAAATCTATTACAAACTATTTTTCATATATGTAAGAATCATAATCCTCCATTAATGGATGGATGATATGATCTTGGTTTCTAAAATAGTGGAATTAGTTACATGCAATGTGTATAAAAGTAGAGCTTGCTGCATTAATGCAAAAATTGAAATCAAAGAATTTCTTCTCAATCTTCTCTACTAACTTATTTATAATTTTCTTCTCAATACCTTCAAAAAATGAACATGGTATCAGAGCTTTAAAACTTATTCCTAAAAGGGGCATAAACTATGAAAACAGATTGATTAAACTATTAATTACTCAAAAATGGTAGGATCAAGCTCTGCTAGAGGAGATCTAAGAACTCCAGAGTTCAATGACACAAATTACAACTTTTAGGTTGTAAAAATAGAATAATCCTCATAGCATTCGATCTATAGGACATAATAGAAGTTCGAATACAATCTCATCAATCACCTGAGGTTGCAACTGGATCAAGCGATAAAAAGAGTGAAGATGAGCTAACTACATTGCAAACATCCACTACCTTTAGAGAAAACAAAATCAAGAATGTAAAGGCATTAAGCCTCATACAAGGAGCATTAACATATGACCTTTTCCCATGTATAAGAAATGAGAAGACTGCAAAAGGAGCTTAGGACATTTTGAGTTGAGAATTTAAAAGAGATAAAAAGGTTAGAGCTATAAAACTTCAAGTAGTGAGAGTAGGCTTTAAATAAATGAGAATGTAAAAAAGTGAAAGCTTAGATGGATATCTAGCTAAATTCTTTGCAACTATGAATAACCTAAAGTCGTTAGGAGAAGATGTATCAGAAAACAGAATTGTACAAAAACTGCTAATAAGTCTAAATAGAAGATATTAGTCCATTGTGTCAATCATTGAGGAGACACGAGATCTTGATGTTCTGAGAGTAAAAGAAGTCATTGCTTCTATTAAAGTCTATGATAAAAGGGAGGATCAACATGATGAAAAGGATAAGCTAACAGGAACAGAGAAAGCCTTTAGTAGTTTAAAGGTTGGAAACAATCAAGCCTATAGCTCACACATGGGTTTCCAAGGCATATCTTCTTAAAAATAGCAATCACAAGACAGGAAGGGATCAAATTAGACTCCAAATAGAAACTTAAATAACTACAACAATTCAAGCTAGAACAACACTACTTGGGAAAGTAGTCAAGCGAATGTAAATCCATAATATCAAGTTTGCTAGAAGCAACACTTTGGATTATACAAACACAAAGGAAAAAAAATATGTGGAAGATGCAATTGGTTTGGCCATATTGCAAAAAACTATGAGAGTCACAGTCACAAACAACTAGCAAAATATACAAGAAAAGAGAAAGTTACCACTAGAACTATATTTAATACTTGCCATTCTACAAGTCTACAAGATAGAAAGGTATGGTTTGTGGACAGTACCTGCAACAACCATATGACTTCTTAAGAATCTGAATTAATCAACATCGATAGAACAATAACCTATAAAGTAAAGATGGGCTTAGGAGACCTTGTGCAATCAACTAGAAAATGCACATTGGTTATGGAAACTCAACATGGGAAAAGATACATAAAAGAGGTACTACTTATTCCTAGATTAGATAAAAATCTATTGAGTGTAGGCTAAATGATGGAGCATAGTTATCATATTCTTTTTGAGGTAACAAAGCAGTAATATTTGATGATGAAAGCCTCAATAATGTTATAGTAATGGTGATCATGGGAGGAAATTGATGTTTTCCACTTTCACTTGAATCCATCACACCTACAGCAAGGAAAGCTTCAGTGATTAAGGACTCCTGGATATGGCATAAAAGACTGGGACACTTGAATTTTGCTAGTATGAAGAAGATGCAGTAGAAAAAGATGGTATATGGACTTCTTATTCTGATAAAAGTAGAAATTATATGTGCAAGTTATGTTTCAAGCAAACATCATAAGAAGAAATTCGACAAAGAGCAAGCTATCCACTAGAATTAATCCACACTGATCTGTGTGGACCAATGAAGAACGAATATGTAGGAGGGAATAAATACTTTATCATATTTATTGACAACTACTTAAGAATGTGCTGGGTGTATTTCCTCAGAAACAAATATGATGCATTAAATATGTTCAAGAAATTTAAAGCATTTGTTGAGCTACAAAGTGGATATAAATTGAAGAAGTTGAGATGTGATAGAGGTGGTGAATATACCTCAAATGAGTTTGAAGAATTCTGTGTAAAACAAGGAATGGAGAGGCAGCTGATAGTTGTATACTATCCTCAATAGAATGGAATGTAGAGAGGAGAAATAGAACAATCTGTGAAATGGCAAGGTCCATACTAATAGAGAAAGAAATACTAGTAATCTTCTGAGAAAAACCTATGAATACAACTATGTATATACAAAACAAATGTTATACAACAATAGTTATTGAAAAGACTCCATTTGAAGCTTTCACAAGAAGAAAGCCAGGAGTCAAGCATCTAAAGGTGTTCGATTGCTTGTGCTACACTCATATCCTATCATCACTTAAGGCAAAAATAGGATAGCAAAGTTGGAAAAGGAGTGTTTATTGGATATGGTAGCTATGAGAAGGGGTATATAATATATGACCTGAAATCCGAGAAGATTGTTCTTTTAAGAAATGTGATTTTTAGTGAAGATAGATCATGGAATTGGGAAAGAAGTATGATGAACCAAAGCCACTTGTCTCTTAATCTTGAAGGAGGTGAAGTTGAAGGTGAAAATTCTAAAGAACACTCTGTTGCAGCCTAACCCAATAATGTTGAACATTGCCATCCAAATTCTATAGTTGGAGAGTTAGCAGAGAATATTGACAATGATAATAGTCAGCAATCTACACCTAGCTAGTAAAATTAAAAATCTTGGAAGATATATATGTAAGGTGTCGCATGTGCATTATAAAACCCGAAAATTATCAAGAAGCTTTTGGAGATAAAGCCTAGCAGGAGGCTATGAAAGAGGAATTGGGAAGTGAAAGAGAAGAACAATACTTGGGAATTGGTGGAGAGACTGATTGATAAACTTGTGATGGGAGTGAAATGGGTGTATACAACTAAGCTTCATCTTGATGGAATAGTACAAAGACACAAGGCTCGCCTTGTAGTAAAAGGATATGTATAGAAATCCAAAATTGATTACAATGAAACCTTTGCACCAGTAGCAAGGCTGGACACAATTCGAACTCTCATTGCACTTGCAGCACAGGAAGGGTGGAAGTTGTTTTAGTATGATGTTAAGTCAACATTTTTAAATGGTGTCCTTAAAGAAAAAGTGTATGTCGAACAACCTAAAGGGTTTGAAGTAAAGAATGCTGGACACAAAGTTTACAAACTAAGAAAGACCTTATATGGACTAAAGCAGGCACTGAGGGTCTGATATAGTGAAATCGAGGCATACCTCTCTATGTGCAAATTCAAAAGGAGCACAAGTGAAACTACTTTGTATACAAGGTCAGACTTGGAAGGGAATTTGATCATTGTCTCAATCTATGTTGATGACATTGTGTACACTGGCAATAGTGAAAGGCTGTTTAGAAATGATGTAGAGGTATGAGATGTCTGATTTTGGGCTCCTTCATCATTTTCTTAGCATAGAAATACTATAAACCAATGAAGGGGTATTTATTCATCAAGGCAAATATGCCAAATACTTGCTTAGTAAGTTTGGACTTGATGACTACAAACCAGTCTCCATTCCCTTAGCCACTGGTAAGAAACTGAAGAAGGTGGATTGGAGTGAGTTGGCTGATGAAGGATTTATAGAAAAATAGTAGGAAATTTACTATATTTAACAGCAACAAGACCTTATCTGATGTATGTTGCAAGCTTACTATCACGGTTCATGACTGGACCTACCAAAATTCATATGGGAGCTACAAAGAGGGTCCTAAGATATATGCAAAGAACTCTCAATTATGGGATTGAATACGTAAGGGATCAATCAACTACTCTTATTGGATTTTGTGATGCAGATTGGGCAGGAAGTGAAGATGATAGTAAGAACACTTTGGGCTATGCATTCATCTTTGGAAGTGGAGCATTCTCCTAGTCCTTTATGAAACAGAACACAATAGCATTATCAACTATAGAAGCTGAGTATGTCTCAGCATTTGAAGCAACTACTCAGGCTATTTGGTTATGGTTTGTTCTTGATGATTTTGGTGAAATGCAAGCTAAGGCAACACTTTTGTTATGTGATAACATGTTAGCAATTTCAATAGCCAAAAATCTTGTTTTCCATTAAAAACAAGACACATAAATAGAAAGTATTATTTTATAAGGGAGGCTAATTAATGTGAAGTTTTGCAAAACTGAAGAACAACTTGCGGATCTTTATGAAAGCATTGTCTAAAAATAGATTCAAGCAACTAAAATTGAAGCTTAGAGTTAAAGTAGTAAATAACTTAGAAAAAGTTATTGAAAACTAAGCTGATTACTTATGGTTGAAGTTTTGGAAGAAGACTATGCATACTATAGTAAGAAGAATGAAGAAATAAAAGGAATTTTATAAATTCAATTAAAATTTTTACTGTTATAAATTTATTACAAATTATTTTTTATATGTGTAAGAATTGTAATCCTCCGTTAATAGATAAATGAGATAATCTTGATTTTTAAAATAGTAGAATCAATTACATGCAATGGCAATGTGTATAAAAACAGAATTTACTGTATTAATGCAAAAATTGAAATACAAGAATTTTTTCTCAATCTTCTCTGCAAACTTGTTTACAATTTTCTTCTCAATACCTCCAGAAAACAAACACCCTTAAGGTAGATCTTAAGAAGGCTTTCAACATTGTAAGCAGGCCTTGAAGCCATATTCGCCCCCCTAACCATGATATCCTGGGTTAAGAAATGCAGGTACCACAAAGAAAGAGCTCTCAGTAAAGAGAGAAGCTCTCGGATAGAGCGGGAAGCTCCCTCTTTCACTGGTGGGTGCGTTTAGTGTTCACACTTTAAGTACCTCAGATGAGACGATTGTTGTCTCTGGCTGATTGTGTTTTTTCTTTGAATCTTTCTGGTTTCCTATGGCGAAATCCAAGAAGATATCTTCGTTGCTTCGTTTTGCTCAGTAGGATTGCTCTTATCAACTTCCGCGACCTTCGTCTAGCTCTTCTCGAAATGCTAGGGCTTAGGATCGGGGTAAATCCCTTGCCATGCAGGATAAGTAAGCTCCTGCCCTAGCAGCGCCTTCCCTTGTCTCTCCTAGCTCTGGCCCTGATGGGGTTTGTCCTCGTACTGTCAAGACCGGTCATCCTTCTAGTGATGTTCTTGATGGGTTTGGTCCTTCTGGTCCTGACCCAGTGTCTGTTGTACCTTATTTTGATGATGAAAATGACTCTTCTCATCTCTCTGGCTCTAGTAGTGGGCACTCCCCAGGCCCTGAACGGAGTCCCTCGGTTCCCAGACCTTCTAGGTCCCTGCTCCTCCTGGTGCAACTTCTCCATACATCCCTTGTACCGAGGAAGCTGTTGTTGGAGGTGCTTCTCCTAGTGAACATAGTCGGGTTCCTGCTACTACTAACCCCTCACTAGGTATTCGTAACCCTAATGTTGATGATAGGAGTGACTTTCAAAAGACTCCATCATTAGTTCATTAGCCTTATTTCAACTATGCTGCATCCTGTCCTTTGTTGGATGATGATTTAGGCAGCAATCAAGATATGTGGAAATTGTGCATTATTGGATATGTTGTTGGTCAATTTCCTGGATATATAGCTTTGAACGTCCTTATTTCCAGTAACTGGAAATGCAATGCCAAGTTAACCATTCATGATGGATGGTTGATCTATAAATTCAATTATGAAGCTGATAAGCTTGCAATCCTGAATGGAGGTCCTTAGTCTTTGGAAGGCCTAGGGTTTTGAAATCCATGTCTGAATACTTTGATTTTGCTGCTACTGATATGTCCAGGGTTCCGGTTTGGGTTAAATTCCCTAATCTCCCTCTTAAGTGCTGGTTTTCAACTTGCTTGTCTAAGATTGCTAGTGTCAATAATGGTAAACCTCTCCCGTATGATATGCTCACTGCCTTATTATGAGTCCCTTCCTAAGTTTTGTAAACACTAACGGATTTTTTGGCCATACTGTCTCAATATGCACCAAAACTAGTGGTAATAAGAGAAGGAAGCACTTTCAGATAGCTCCCACTCCTGTGAAGCTCAGTTGGAGTCCTGGCTGTTCTAGCTCTAGCCCTTTTGGTGAGACAGCTGCTGTAGAACAACAGCAGGCTTCTGGCGGCATGTCTCATGGTGAGCATTGTGTGGACCCTATACGGTTGAAGTCGCAACTGTGGTAGATAGATGGGCTGAAGTGCATGGACGTACAAAGGCCAAAATCTCTGAAGGTGGCCAGGATGCAGCTTCCCCTATTCCAGGTGTTATGCCTTGTGCTCCCTCGTCTATAGTGCATGTTATTGATGATTCTACGCAGGATGTGGTTGTAGCTGAGGGAGGGGAGCCTTCCGGAGTTAGAAGCAGTACATGACGCGCAGCTGAAGTTTGGCTACTAGTACACCTACTGTGGTCAACTCTGGGCAGAAAGGGAAGACCCAAACTACTGATGTGGATGTTATCTCCAAAGGTAGAGAATCTGCTAAGACTCAGTATGGTGTGGCCAATAAGTTTTCGGGGCGGCAATAGGAATCTGACCCTCCTTCTCCATCTTTATGACTGCGTTTTCTTTGATATATGCCAATGACGGTGCTGCGGTCCTTGATGCTACTGTTTTCTCAATGCGTGTTGAGTTTTATGTTATCTCGTTTTGGGTTTTAGCTGTTGGTTATAACATGGTACGTTACGTAGACGTTTCTAAAATTTTAAGCTTTAGCTCTGCTACTATTTGTTTAAGGGAGCCCGTTCTCTTTATGTATATATGTTACTTGTACATTCTGACGCGCTGGTATTCAGCTTAGTTTTGTTTTGATCTATAACAATTACTTACATTTGATAAAAAAAAAATAAAAAAAAATAAAAGAGCTCTCAGTGCTCTCTCTAGGTTCTCTCTGCTATGAGAGTTTCTCTTCCGCGGTAGACGCGTTTTGCGTTTCTGCCTTCAATGCACCACTAAAAAATATAGTAATTAGCAACGGGGAATACTCCAAGTAATACTAAAATTCATTCCTAAAACAATTTAGCAATGGAATCAGCAACGGTAAAAATCAGATGCAGATTTATTATTGTTAATTTTTTGACAACGGATTTATCCCTTGCTTATAATTAACAATAGATATCCGTTGCTCATTGTAAGCAACGGATTTTTAATCCATTGCTAATTGTAAGCAACAGATTTTCCGTTAAAAAATCAACAACGGATTTTTCGTTGCTCATTTTAGCAACGGATTTATCCGTTGCTAGTTTTGTGAATCAGCAACGGATAAATCCGTTGCTGATTGATGCATTAGTTATAATTATTAACGGAGAATCCGTTTGTGATTATATTATTTTTTATTTATTTATTAAATTAATTATGGATATTTTAAAAGTTTTAGAATATATATAACCAACATAATTTAATATTAAAAATAATTATATCATTAATAAAAAATAGAACAAAAATAATATTCATATTATAAAAATTTAGTTAAACTTAGATTAATACAATTAAGTTCAAATACAATAAAAAAACAACAAAAGATGCAATCATGGTACTGGTTATGAAGACGAACCATGATATTGTGGATCCACACAAGATTGATCAGGATATAAAGGTTGAGATGTAGGTCGAAAAATTGGTTAAGATGTGGGAACCATAGGTGTCATTATCTGAGGAGGCATAGGTGGCGATATTGATGGAGTCAAAGATGGTGGCATACCTTGGTCAATATTTGATGTCCCACCATGGTATCCAAGATTGTTCACAAGATATTCTTTCATGGAATCCATCTGTCGTTTCATTTCAAGAATAAATTCATCTTTTTTCTTTATCCTTTATCTCCTTTTGCAATGCTCGATACGATGAACTGGGATATGATAACTCCACTAAATAGGAATATGATGAAGAGCTTGCACTGACTATAGATTTTGGCATACGAGGTGCACCATATCCCCTACCCTTTGTAACTCCTCCTGAAGCCACACACCAAGCTACTCCATCAAATAAAGGATGATTTTTCCTATTTGTTCCATACTTTGAAATCATCTCCATTTTATAATTTTCCTACAAATAAAATACATGCAACAATAAATTCATTTGAATGTTAAATAATACTTAAGTTATATTAAGAAATAATCAAATAAAAATACATACAACCACTTTTTTAGACTTGTTGTCGACGAAGTTACCTGAATGCTTAGTACTTTGATGCAAAGTTGAAAAGACATCATCTCATGGAGGTTCTTTTCCACCAGCTTCCTCTTGCTTTCAAGATTAATAAATATTAAAAAAGATAAATATACAAATCTTAATCATTAAAAAAAAAATCCTTACCATGTTAGCTCGATATGATGCAAATGACATTGTTCCTCCAGAATAAGTGTTTATTTTGCTATCTATTTTGGTTAATCGATTCTTCCTAGTAGATTCAAACCTCCTTTAAAATTCAAGGGTGGACCAAACATCTTTGATCATTTGATTCCAGTCATCATTGTTTATCTAAGCAGGACCTTTATCAAGATAATCTATAATATTTGTAGTGTTTTCTTTTGACATGGCTTTCTTGGGAGCTCGTGTCAATTGTTGATTCAAAGCTATCCTTGCCTTATATTCTCAAATATTACGAACAATCAACTCATCTTCCTCAGGAAAAGAATATTTTTTCTACCAAATAATATATATACCAAGT